GAAAATAGTATCTTGAACATAAAGTAATGGGAATATTCTAGATATAGAACTGGAAGAGCTCTCAGAGGTCATCTAGTCCTCATTTTGCAGATGAGAAAACTGAGGAACAAGGAGCTTAAGTGACTTGCCCAGGATCATACATCTACTGCATTTTGTCAGAGGTGGAGTTTGAATCCAGGTCCTCTAACTCCCGCGGTAGTGCTTCAATGCAGTTCAGTGTACAACACTGAACATAGGATGCCTTTTTATGTGTATATATAAGCACACACGGGGATCAGTAATTCAGCCTTGTTTCAGCCTGCCATTGTGATAGGGACCCTCAGAAGGTTCCTTTGCCCCTTCCCATAGGAATGTCTGTACGCTCACCCAGCGAGTGCTTGAATCAGATGTGGTAATTGGAACAAGTCTTTCCTTTGGGTTGCTCCTGGTTGAGGCACCAGAAACCCCTCTCAAGACTGTAGTGCACCTATTCACCCACTTCAGAAGGCAATTCCTACTTGGTGGTCTGGGCCTCTAGGGCCAAGACATGGGCACATAATTGCTCACCATAGCAGAATCAAAGAGCCCCCAAACTCTCAAAGACCCCATCTCCCACCCAGGGTGGTTCGTGTTGAGCCAGGATGTTCACTCTGCAGGACCATCTGTGGGGCAGGGAGTGGCAAGGGCTGGCATCCAGAGGGGCACAGAGGGCATAGGGATCCTAGCTCATGCTGCCTGGTGGTCTGGTCAAGAATCAGTCAACCCAGGGTGTCAATCCTCACCCATCACCACAACTCTAGTCTTCCTCCCCCCTCCTATTACTAGAGTCCTCCTGGAATGAGACAGAGCACTGGATTTAGATTTGGAGTTAGGAATCCCAACTCTGCCTTCTTTCTAACTGTGCTAGCTGACTCCTGATCTCAGAGCCGCATGAAGTGAAGGACCTAAGCTCTTTGAGGACAGGAATGGTCTCATTTTGCATTAGTATCCCCAGGGACTAACACAGTGCCTGAACTATATTAGGTGCTTAATAAAAATGCTTGTTGAGTTATTCGTAATAAAGAGAAGGTGAGAGTATCATTTAACTACCGGCCATTCCTATACATTCAACTCTCAGTGGCCCTTGAAGGTAGCAGGAATCTGCTGGAGTCAGCTTGAAAGGACTCTGAGAATAAATCATTAAATTCTCAGTGTGAGCATTTATACCCCAGAAATCAGCAAACGCTACAAATCAGGGTCCGATTTATTGTTTAGTTGATTGTCTGGACTTAAGAAAGTGATGGATTCATTTCCCACTTGGTTGCTCACCTGGACTACCTACCATTGTCTCCAGGAATTCATCTTCCTGAAAGATCAGATTAACCCTGAAATTCATACTTCTCCAGTACCCCCCTGCCCTTGGGACCCCTCCCTCCCTCTGTTTGCAGACGGTGGAGAGTAGATATCTGAGAATTCTTTCCAGATCCTCTATTTAAGGAAGGGCCTAGGGCTGACACCCCATCATTTCCCATCTGGTTACAGGAACTCATTATTACTTTCCCCCCAATCCCCATGCTGTGCCCTTGCCAGTTACCATCTTTCCCCTCTCCCCTTGTCAATTACTTTTTATGTGTTGCCTTCCCTGTTAGAGTGTAAGCACCTTGAGAGCAGGGACTGGCTTTTGCTTTTCTTCATATCCCTAACACTTAACACAGTGCCTGGCACATAGTAGGCTTTTAATAAATGTTTATTAACTGACTGATGGAGAAAGTGTTCATAATTCAGATTAAACTTAGAAGTATGTTGTGTGTACTTTTTTTTTTCTTGGAGAGCTGGATTTACCAGGACTCCACTGGTCAGGGGCCCAGAACATACAGCTATTCCAGCTTCTGCTCCAGTCCTAGGATCATAGATTTTGAGCTACAAAGGACTTTATATATCATCTATTTTTGAACTGTTCATTTTACAAGTGAAGAAACTGAAGCACAAGGAAGTTAACCACAGGTGGCTGGAGGTGGTATAGATAATGAGTAGCTGGATTTAAATACAGATCTTAACTCCAGATTCAATTACGCTTGCCACTACAATGCAGTGCTTTTTTCTACTCCTAAACACTATGATCTTCTTTTGCATCTGTCTGGCCCCATCAGTGGTTGTAGGCTCCATATTTGGTCCCTTGCTTCCCCTCTCTGGAGCTGGTAGGGAAGGTCTGGGCTTGGGATCCTTTGGTCTGGAGAGAGGAGGATAACTAGAACTATTGAATGTAAATGATCCTCAGGTCTTCACTTTACTTTTAGTCCTACAATTTCTATTCTCTCTTTCAAAGAGTATTGAGCCACCAACTGGCCTAGGGGGTGTAATTAGGGATCTAAGAGGAGAATAAAAGGAATGAGTCCCTGGGAAAGAAGGGAAGAATGGCTTCCTTCATTTATTTTATTTAGACTTGTAGCTATTTGTTCATTTTAGGTGCTTAGCCCCCCTTGCAGTGATGCAAAACATACCTATTTAAAGAAGGAGTTCTTAACCTAGGATCCACAAATTAGGGATTTGTGAATAGATTTAACGGGTTCTGTGAACTTGATTGGAAAACTATATATGATTTTTATTTTTATTGACCTTTGGTTTCCTTCACAATCATATTATTTTATTTTATTTTATTTTATGCATTTAAAAACATGGACTTTATAGGCTTCACTGGACTAAAGGAGTCCATAATGCAGAAAAGGTTAAGAACTCCTGAGTAAGAGAGAGGAGATTCACAAGCATGAAATAGAAAGCGACTCAGGCTAAACAAGTGCTTTAGGGATTCAGAACAAGCAAGGAATCACTATAGAAAGGAGTATGATGAGGAAAATTTCATGGAGGAAGAAGTGACCCTTGAACATCTTTATTGCGGAATCATGAGAGAGAAGGATGGGGAGATAAAGGCGGCTAGTAAAGATGATTAAATGATAGAAAACTCAAGAGCTTAAGTTTTGTCTAATAAGCTTTAGTGAGCCATATTAAGGTCTTAATAAAGGAAATGATGTGATGAAAATTGTATTTCAAAAGATGAATGTTTCAGAAGTATGTCAGGTAGATTGGAGAAAGGAAGAAGAGAGACTTTGGTTTTTCTTGCCATGAAGAGATAAGAGCATGAAAGAAGCTGAGACCAATGGGAATTGAAAGGAAACAATTGATTTTTGAAACATTGAGAAGGACCTATGGACAAAATTTGGTAAGTGGCTGGATGTGGGAGATGAGAGAGACATTGCTGAGACTTTAAACTCTGGGGAATTTGCTTCCTACATTGGGGAGTTACTATGAGTTACTTAGGCTCACAACTTCTTTCTGTTCCTGGGGAGAGTGGCCACAATCATCTGCCTTTAAGTTATCATTTAATAGAATTTTTTATTTATTTTTCATTCAGTTCTCTAGCTCCAATATTCTTGCACTTTGTTGCTTTTATAGAATGGTTCTCTGATTAAAATTCAATTATAAAACAGAAGAAAGTCCAGCATTTTAAACAAGCAAGATAAACCAAAAATAATTAATTGTAATTCCATTTTAAAAAGTCTACAAAAGTATCTGAAGGCACTATCTACAGTCTGTATGTAGGGATGACATTTGCTTTCTTTTTTATTTTTTTAAGGTCAGAACCTGGGATAATGAATGTGAAAATGCCTTTAAAATGACAAAGAATATATAAATACAAGATATTCATTTTTGTTATCATCATTGTTAGGCACCCACATGGCCTCTCTCTGAAATATCCTGTATCTTTTGTACTTATCAACCTTCTCCCTCTGAAATAATAGTAACTGACACACATGCTACTTTAAACCCACTTTATGGGTTATTTCATTTGAGCCTCACAACTGCCCTGTAAAATCAGTTCTAAAGGCATTATTCGCAGCTGAAAAATCCTATGCATTGTTTCCATCTATTAGAATATTAGAATACCCATACTTGACAGTATGGATTGTCTTCGTTTTTGTTTTCTCAGCACTTAGCACAGTACTTGGAACATGCTAAGCTCTCAATAGATGTTTTTTCATTCATGTGTTCTTTATTATCCCCACTTATCTAGGAAAAAAAAAAAAAGGCTCGTAGGCCCATAGCTACAGCGTAAGTGTCGGAGACAATGCAAACCAAAGTCTTCCTGATTTTGCTAAGTATAGCATTCTCTCGGCCCTTCCATACTGCCTCTAGGAGATTCCTTGTTCTCTATCCCATGTTGCCCTGGAGGTAGCTTCCCTTCTATACCCCTCCTCTTTCATGTCAGTTTGATGTTCCTGCCACTGAGGAAGCTTGCTGCCCTCTTGGGAAAGTGTTGTCTCCTCCAGGCCTTTACAACTACCTCTTCTTGCCTTTGGGATGTGAGGGTAGGGAAACAAGCTCTTTTCTTTGGCAGATTATCTAGCAAAAGAAGTGATACTTTCCCATTTGTCTGCCAACATGTTTGCCTTCCCTTCTTCTACTATGTAGAAGCTCACGTGAGGTGGCTGTCAACCATTGAAACTGTTGAGGATTAAAAAGGCATTTAAAATTCATTTCACTTACATTAAGCAATTTTTCAAGCCCTGGACACAGGTATTATATATGGCTGACTATGTATGTATTCACACTCCACATGCTATAAACCATTCTGTATTATTGATTAGTCTGAATTAAAAGTATGTTTTTTGAAATATTTATGACTAGGCATCTTCCCAAAGCATTTATATAAGAGAAAGTAAACAACTAAGATGAATTTTCAGTTTTTCTAGACATCATTTACTTATCATGGATGCATTGCTGTGTATCCTTATTATTATATCTGGCCACATAGAACACAGTTTCTGGAATATAATAAAGTCCATTCATTGAATGAGCATTTATGAAATGCCTCCTACATGCGAAGCACAATGTCCACATTACTGTATGAATAAAGCTCACAACATTTTATATTCATGATGTTTAATAAAGCATACTGATGACGTGTTTAAATTCACCATTGTTGCTCATTCTCTCTCTCCCACCCCTATGTACTGCATATTTTATTTTTGTGTTGTAGTTCTTACCTTGCCAACATACAAAGGGTCAGTTCCAGTGTATTCTTCCAGGACAAAGAATTGATTCCAAACCCAACTTCTTTTTATTCGGTGGTGCAAATGTGTCTTGTCCGACAGATGTACTTCCAGTTCTTTGAGGGGCATGGGAGTGACAGACAGCACAGTGGTTGTAAGATCCATCAACCCACAAAAATACAAGGACATGCCAAGTCCAAGCCAACTCTTTGCTTTGCTCATTCTACCAGAGGTCCACATGGGTTTGCCAGGGTGTCAAAAGGTAAGGCAAAAGAAAAATCACTGGAGTTCAGCAATTTCTTGAGATGAAAAACTTGTGTTTGTTGGGCCCTTAGATCTTTCAAACAAGATCCTGCTTGGAGTCTGACCACTTGAAGGATGATTTCCTGTCAAGTTAGACAAAAGACACTTCAATGACATCAAGTTCTTCCCTTGTGTTTGAGCAAGTTCTCAAGAAACACAAATAAGTATTCAGTTTTCTATTCAAAGAATTAAAAAGTCATGGCATACTATCACTTCAATACTGTTTGGGTAATGAATAATATTTTGGTAAAAATCTTGCTATCTGCAGTCCTAAACCTTTGGACATGGATTTCATTGGGGATGCAGCTAGTGAATAAATTTCTTCTTTTTTGGTAACTTAGATGCAGGGTTTTGCTGTATTATTGATTGGCCTGAATTAATAGTATACTCTTTGAAATATTTATCATCATACAACCTTTGCAAACATTTAAAAATAGCACTCACTTCCAAAATTTACAGCAGATTACTAATATTTCCATTAGGAGAATAGCTTGTCTTGGTTTATCGAAAAATAAAAACAAAAGCAAGCTTGGACTTGTTACTACTCTCCAGTACCTGCCCCCTGTCCCTTATTGATAACATTACCAAACTTGGGTTTCATTTATAAGCCACTGTGAATCATTTGTTTCTTTAATCATTCTTTCCAGACCATTGTGGAATTCAAGTTTCACACTCTGCTGCCTCTTCTCCTGGGAGTTGATAGGGGCTGCTAATGTGACATTTCTAGGATTTGAACGGTCAGTTAACCATTATATCATTCACAAAAAGCTTTAAAGGGCTGATGGTCACATGCTACTGTAGGCCGCCTAAAAGAGTCAAACCAACACATTTTTCCTGCTTAAGTGTGAAAGGCTTGTTTAGGCAAAGGAATGTGGACTTTCATCAGGGGACACTTTTTCATCCCTTGAGGTTCTTTTGTTGCTGTGAAGTCAGATTAACCAGTGACCTCACTTCTGGGTTAGGGATTATAGCAATCTATTCTTCCCTGATTTGGATGGGTTTAATGAGGTGGTAGAGTACTAGAGGTACCCTGTCAGAACAGCCTCAATATCCTTGTGGTTCTGATGTCACTATTCATTCTAAGGACTTTTGTCTCCCTATCACAACAAATGGACTCTTTAATATGTGTGCTTGGATTTAGCAATTAAGTAATGCTCCCTTTTTATAAGTATAAATTAAATGCATTGAAACAAACTCTCTTCCTGCCCCCAACCTCTTCACAGATAAAGATGTCAAGAATTAAAAAAGACATTTAATACTTATTTCACATTCCTGCATGAGCAAGTGAAAACTACCAAGAAAGGAGGAAGGGATGATGAGGAGTTGAGAATGAATGCAGCAGAATGGGAGAGACTGATCATTTGAAAAGCTACAATTCTGAAAACAACCCACCTGTATACTCGTTAGGATGACAAACCTCACTGAAAACACAAGCATGTTGCTGTTATAGACTAGATCAGTAGAGGAAAGAGTCGATGGTCCCTTTCTTCCTGACTCTATGGACATAAAGAAGCCCAAGCAGAGTTGCTCTTATTTCTGTTGATGGGATAGCATTCTAGGAAAAGGAATTCTTACTCCAACAGGAGTCAAAAAATTATTTCTATGTTTTGTTTCCATTTTACCTACAGTGTCTAATATATCCCTGCTCCGTACCTCCTGGAAAACCATTTGTTATAATAAAAGACTAAAAAAAGAAAGAAAAAAAACTCTAGTCAAGCAATCTGTTCAGCAATGCAGCAAACTGAGTCTGACGTCATATGCAGTGTGCTATACCCATAGTTCTCTATATCTGCGAAAAAGGGAGGGAGCTACATTTTCATATCTCTTGTTTGGATGCTAATTTCACAGTACTGAATTGCATCCATTTGCATTGTTGTAGTAATTGTATATATAATTTTCCTGGTTCTGCTTACCTCAATTGCATCAGTTCATTTTCCCTCTTCAGTCAGTTCAGTTGTGTCCGACTCTTCATGACCTCATCTGGGGTTTAATTGGCAAAAATACTGGAGTGCTTTGCCATTTCCTTCTCCAGATCATTTTACAGATGAGGAAATTAAGGTAAATAGGGGTAAGTGACTTGCCCTGTGTCACACAGCTAGTAAGTGTCTGAGGCCAGATTTGAACTCAGGAAGAGGAGTTTCCCAGCTCCAGGTCCAACACGCTATCCACTTAGCTGCTCCGCATTAATATATATGTCTTATTTATGTGCTTTCTACATGCTTTTCAGTGTTTATCATATGCATTGTTTCTTAAAGGGCAGTGATATTATATTATGTTTATATACCACAACTGATTTAGTCATTCATTTGGAAGTTCTGAGAGAAAGAATTATGCTGTCTCAGGGGGTCTAAGGTGGCAATCTATAGGCGTGATATATTATATAGGGAAGGATGTAAGTAAAAATGCCTCACCCTCCACCCCTTGACAATAGCTACTAATAAGACATAAAGAAAACTTTATGGAATGTTCATTTTCTTAGATCTAGAAGGAGCTTTTGACTGGGAATCCTTCCTCTGACATGATACATACATGATCCTGAGAAGATCACTTAATGCCTGTGGGCTTTCAGTTCTTCATCTCTAAAATGAGAGGGTTGCCCTCTACAGATAGCTTCTAAGGTCCTGTTTAGCTCTCAGTCTATAGTACTAATAACTATGAATGAATAAACCTTCCCTTTCTACCTTACAAGGTTATTAAGATCAGCATCAAATGAAATAATATATGTGAATGAACTTTAATTATAATAATAGCTGTTGTTGATAGATCATTTTAAATTTACAAAATTTTGTGCAGGTGTTATCGCATTTCATTCTCATACCAATCCTGTGGAAGCGGTTCTACAGGGATTTTTTTTATCCTATTTTTATCTTTACAGATGCAAAAACTGAGGCCTAGGGAGGTAAATGACTTGATCATGGCTAATGAATATTAAAGGAAGAATTTGAATCCAGGTCTCTCCTGTATCCAAGTACTCTTCCTAATAAACCATACTAGTTTCTTTGTAAGAACCAGCTGAAAACTGTAATGTGATATAACTAAATGGAAAGTATCATTACCTAACACCCATTAGCACTTGAACAGTCAGACAAAGTAGTAAAAGGAGAAATTATCTTGGTTGTATATGAGAATGGAGACACAATATGGTGTGTTATATCTGTATCAAAATGTTTGGTGTGTGCATATGTTTTCTTTCATATCTACAGAATCTGCATGTAACAATTGCCGATTGGTAGTGAATTCTAGGGTTTTTCCAACAGCCTACCTTGGTAATCATCAAAAGCTGTTTCAACCTCATGGGTACCATGTAGACTGCAGGGGTGAGGAACCTGCGGCCTCGAGGCCATATGTGACTCTCTAGGTCCTCAAGTGCAGCTCTTTGACTGAATCCAAACTTCACAGAACAAATCCCAGAAAATTTGGATTCAGTCAAAGGGCCACACTTGAGGAACTAGAAGGACACATGTGACCTTGAGGCCGGAGGTTCCCCACTCCTGGCAGTGTTAACTTTTAGTGAACAACCTAGCCTAGTAATTCATTCTTGGCTAAAGTTTACAATGGATACAGGAGCTGAATGCATTTCCTTTGCGCAAGGTGGAAACTCTGCCCAAACATGTGGTTACCCTCTGTGATCAGTTTAACATCTGGTTGTTTCCTTTGCAAGTGTGTGTGTGTGTGTGAAGAATTTTCATCCAATCTGCTTTGTCTGGGAAAGACTCTTGCACAAAACTGTATTGAAGAATAGATGAATAAGGGGAGATGTTTGTTATTTATTTCAGCCCACAGTCATCAGTGCAAAACTCCATTCTTTCTTAGGGATCCCAGTAAGTTAGTACCTCTGTCCCCATTTTTTCAGAACATATTTATGAGGAGATAGAGAACATTATGAAATGCAAAATGGATAATTTTGATTACAGAATATATTTATGCCAATTAAAAACCCACATTGTTACCAATACCTCTGATCCATATGCTCAAATAAGATCTTTCTTTCTGTTCTCTGCCTTTGTGATAGATGTGTTGTGGTCAGTTTAGTTGCCCAGGCTATCTCATTCTCCTGCTCAGTTTGCCCTCCACCACAGAGTTCTCCTTTCCTTCCCTGTCACTCAAAATGCACAAAAGTAGTTTTGGGTTTCTTTAGGATACATGAAGGCCTGTGTGATCACTGAGTAAACTGATGGTCTGCTTGGCCTGCACAGCCCTTACAAAACCTACCTACTGAGCTCCAAGGGAACACAGTCCCAAGGACAAAACCCATGGACTGTTTCTGTGTTAAATAACCCACTAGTTTAAAATTAAGTGAATGACTCTGCCTAGTTCCTCTTCAGGCTAAATACATAAGAAAAATAAGTCAGCTATAACTCTTTAGAAAGTGAAATCCAAGCTACAAATAGTTCCATTATAAATTTCACATTTTAAAAACAGTTTTTATGTAATTGAAGAGAAAAACAGTCATATCTGAAACAATTACCTCTTTTACAGCTGTTATCAATAATCAGTTTCTTGTATGATTCCCACTACCCAGAAAAGCAATTCCAGAAAAAAATGAACAGTGGCGGTTTATAGGTGGTTTCTCTGCTTCTGTTCTTCCAAAGGCAGATACGAATGTGTATGTGCACACATATGTGTATATATATATATATATATGTGTATATGTATATGTACATACATATACAGTATACATATATACATGTATATATGCATGTATATATATGTGTATGTATACATACATGTAATAAACGCTCTAAAAGGAATGTATTAGCGGAAGTTGATGTGCATATTAAATGAGTCTTTGAAAAGTTTTTCCCCAGCCATCCTGCCTAAAGAAAGCAAGCAACTTGCTAATGAACTTAGTAGAAAAAAAATTAAAGTTGAAAGAAAAGTGTGCTCTAAGAGCCTTGTTTATTTTGTTCATGAATTTGTTGTGATTTTTAAAATGT